TGAACATGCTAAAGTTAGTCCAGCTGTGTGTATAATTGATGAAAGTATATTAAAACAGTATCTGCTACCTCTTGCTTGCTCGTACTTGATTGTTCAGCTACAAATATATAAATATATTTAAAATAAACATATATTCCAACAGCAAGTGAACATCTGTCTACGTCAAGCCTTATCACAGCTGTATAGTTTTTTTGCATTTCTGTTTCTCTCTCTATTGGTGTTGTATTTACCTTCTCAGGATGGAACTGGATCCAGAGCTGAAAGAGTAAAACAAAGATGTGTCCAGGTCGTACATGTTGCAGCATATTTATTCCGATCTCAGGATATACATCCTGTGAGCATCAAAACAAATTAGTCTGCAGTACAAGGAGAGTATATGGTCTGACTGTTGCTAAGAGAAAACACAGCTGGACTTTTCATTCTAGAAAAAAAAGCTTCATTTTCATGTGACAAGCTCTTCCTTTCTGAGTGTAATTACAAATACATCAGGTATGTGGGAGAGATGAAATTAAATAATAACCAGTGTTCCTCAGTGCTCTAGGGCAATCCCTGGGGGAAGTCTGACACCCAGGTGAGGAGAAGAGCCACCACCTACAGCTGTGAGATGATGCAGTGTGGGGTTTCCCCTGGCTGGAGCATCCATCACTTGGGGTTTCTGAAATCAAAGGGTAGTACACACATTCTCAATAATGACCAGCTTCCTAACAATAGTAAAATGGGATCTATGCAGGGCTGCAAGCAAAGGACAAATTCTGAATGAGACAAAATGAGTTCAAAGCATGTTATTAAATAGTGGTAGGCTTACGGTCTTAATTCTCCTCTCCCACTATGCGAAATGGGAGTAACTCATTTGTAGTCAGTGAAGCTACAGAGATGTAAAATGGCATCAGAGGAGAATCAGGCCATTGTTCTCTGCAAAACTCACTGATAAGACATTAATTACTAAAAGAGAAAATGCCATCAAAAGGATTTTAAATGCTTTGCAGAACTCAGGAGACAAACTCATTAAATGCTATGTCGTAGAGGGAATTAATTCCAAATTTGTGAATGCAGAGAAGGCAAATGCTGCACTACAGATAATGGGTGATCATTTTGAAAGCCTTCTTCGGAAGGCCTACTTTCTTTCAGAGGGGGAGCCAACCCCACATATTACATCCAGAGATGCAAAACAATTCCAGATAAAATAAATCACCCTGAACCTTGGTCCATCTCACACACTGAATCCCAGCCAACTGCAGTTGTTTAAGGTTTGTAGAAGTTTACTGGACTCTGTTTCCTGCCCAGCCTGTCTCCTTTCCACTCCCAGCTTTCATCTTAGGTCAAGCCAGGCTTGGAAGCAGAAAAGCTAAACACCAGTCAGACAGCATCATGTGCGGTCTTTCTAACTGAACATCCAGTTAAAGTGCAAGAAATCTCGCTGGGGCAAACCCCAGCTCCAGGGATATGATAAAAATCTGTGGTAAAATTCTCAACTGACCTCTCCAAGGACAAGATTTTACCCTCATTCTCAGGATAATCCCCAGATAATTTTGCAGACGTGGTTGCTGAGATAGGGTGACCAAGTATCTGAAACTTCTAAGGTCTTTTTGAACAACAGCCCTGAGCAGTTAACCCCCTATTAAATCCACCACAGAGAAGATGAAGCCTATTAATATACAAGAAGGAACATAAAAGGTATAATTGGTGAGAACTGAAAACATGACTGTGTCATAGGGGACAGTGTTGTGTGCCCCAGCCACCAAACATGCCATGTTCTGCTGGGGGACCCTGGATGCTGAGGCTCCCAGTGCAGCACCATGGATATCTTGAAGGTACATTTTTGACCCAGGCTTTAGCAGCAACAAACAGAGTAAATAGTTGCCCCATCTGCCTTTTGCTTTGGGCATAGGCAAAAGCCTTGCAGCAAGATGTTGGGAGTCAGGATCCTTGGGGCTGAGGCTGGCATCCGACTGTGTGACGGAATAAAGGAAGTGGGACAAGAAGATGCACTTGTCACATGAGCCAGGGGCAAGGTGAGGATGCCAGGACAATATATGCCTAACGCGTGACCTGTGTTCAACACTGTCCTGTGATCTGATGGGGCGACTGCATTCCTCTCACAGGATCTGTGTGAAGGAGGGAGTCCTTTTGAATGTTCCCTATTTCCCGGCTCTTTCTTGTCACTGTTGTTCGAACCCAGCCACTCGAAGCAGGAGAGGGTTCAGACTATGTCATTGGCGTCATTGTGTACTGATCACACTTTGGGACTGGTGGCAGGAGCTCAAAAGGATTATTCACAGTCCCCCGAGCTGCCAAAGAGGCCGTCCACTGCAGAGCAGCAGGAGTGGTTCCCTGGCTCCCTGACACGGGAGGATGTGTCTGCCAGGACAGCAATGTCCTTAGCTGCAGGACTTGCCTTGTCATCCCTAACCAGCCCTGGGACCCTGCAGTTCAGATTCATGGATGACAAGAAGAATAACAAGTACCTAGCCATTGTCAAACTGGTTGTGGTAACACAGGCTCACTCCTCAAAACAGGACAACTTATGCATCAGCTGGAGGCTGCTCTGATGTTGTGTCTCAGTGGACAGTGCTGCAGCCTCACAGTTCTCATTTCCAGCTTGAGTGCACGGGGAGGCTGTCACCTTTCCCTTGCACGTTGGGCTGGATGCTCTTCCGCTATACCAGAAAGTTCAGATTTCTCCTGCTCCATATAGTCCTCGAGTTCCCATGGTTGAGCTGCGCTTGGTTGGAGTGTGGGGACTCTCAATCCTGCAGTATAATTTTGGTCAATAATGCAAATGATACTCAGATTTTTTAGCTAGAGAGATGTACAACATGAGGTCATTCAATGCAGGTAGCCACTGGCTACCTGGGGCATGTCTGACCTGGCCTGTGCTGTGTGTGAGCATCCAGAGGCAGTAAGAATACATGTTCTTGCATTAGAGAACCCAGAGGTGTGAACCAGAGAAACCACGCAATGATGTCTCTGGGCAGGACCAGAAGTCAAGACATGTATGAAAGGTTAGGAAAAGGCTTAGAAGAAACTATAATAAGTGTAATTTAACAGGTGGATTAATTGCAAGCAATTCCTGGAGCAACTGATCATCACACTAACCCTCAGCTCTAAGGTTAGCCAGGACAGTGTCCTTATCCAGCAACAGGTCATAGACTGGGGGAGCTCCTAGCAGAAAGTGCCTCATTTTGTAAGCAATATATTTTGAATTTAGATCTGCATGGGACCTCTTCTAGTTATAAATTTATACTAAATTGGGGAAAATCTTATAGAGCTCCTTTTACTGTATTTGCAAAAGGCATCTTTTCAAACCGGGCCAAAAGTGGATTAATAGTATGAAATGAAAAAATAATTAAACCAGCCAACATCAAAGTCATGGTTGTGCTGCTGCAGTGTCCCATCACTGGGCATCAGCTTGCTAGAACTGTGTCTGTTCCAGTGTTTTGTTAAAACACTGCATTGGGAGCAGTAATTAAACAGATTCTGATGATGGTTTTTAACACATGCCAGCTGGCTCGCAGCCAGTGTCAAAGCAGAAACATTGCGCAAACTCATGGTCAATGATGACTTTGATCTTTGAAGGGCTTTGTAGTGGCGGAAGGAAATGGGAGGATAGGAAGGAGGGAGAAGGGTGCAAGCAATGGGGAGAAAAAAAGAGTAACATGCACTAGAGTGGGAATTATCTCCTGCACCTTGACAAAGGCAGTGGGTGCTTTCTTCCTCGCCCTCTTTCTTCATGTGGGGCAGTAGGCACAGTTACCATAAAGGCCTAGTTTTGTCAGTGGAAACCCATACGAGTAACAGCAGTCTTTTGAATATTCCCATGTGTGTGCCTTTGGGTTTGCTCTGTGAGTGACTTCCTCTGTAGACTGGTTTGCAGTAGCTGACCCTGCCAGCATCTTCACGTGTAATGTACACTGGATTGTGTAGTAGCTCTTCAGGACAGAACCTGGGACAAAGGTGAAGAGGCCTTATGTAGCCAAGAAAATAAAAAATATGTGCTATTCAAAACATCTGCTTAGACATTGCCTGAAATTCTACAACAGCTCTTTTAGGCACAAAGAAAGCTGTTGCTTCTGTCCCACAAGGTTCTCTGTTCAGATGTGGCATGAGCGAGGGTCAGGGATAGCAAACAATCACAGATGGCAAGAATGAGCAGAGAGGTGTGTTCACACAGTCCTGAACAGTTAGTTTAAATGTGGTATGACTTTCCCATTTAACAGCAACGCGCACAGGGAAGGAAAATCCCTTTGTTCTTTTTTAAGCTTCAGAGATATGCAGACAGTTTAGGCAGAGGATGTTCCTGATTTCCAAGACATATTGCTAGCTGTGCCTTGGTCAGCAGTGAGCCTGTGTTCCCAAGCTGTTCGGAAGGACTCTGAATACTGGTGTTCTCTTTTTCAGGTGAACCTCACTTCAGAGATCCCAGCTGCTTTTACTCTAACATTCTTATTAAATTCTTCACAGGGGTAGGATTGCCTTAACAGTACAAGCTGCAATGCCTCTGTAGTAGCACAGGAAAGATGAAAAACCTTCCAAATATCTTCACATTGAAAATAAATATCTTTATTTCCCTTCCAACTTCCTCACTAATGTTAGATGGTGACACTTGCGATTTTTCCCTCTTTCTTCTTTTCTGTAAAGAGCAAAGTTTTAAATTCATTACCTTCTAGCTCTGGAAGGACACATTTAGCAGCTATGGGGTTTTGGTGTGACTCCTAAGAATTTCAAAGAATAAAGTCCTTAATGAGTTCTCCTGTGCTTTTGCATGCACAAAAAGATGTTGTCATTGAGAATAACCTTTATTTTAGTTCAAGGGCTCCAGCAGACAACTGAGTTAAGTAACTAACCTTGCATCAGCTGAGCTCCCAGAGATGTCAATAATAATTTATGTGCACTCCTCACCTGTTCTAATTGTGAGGTAAGGCAACTCGGCATGAACTCTGATTGGAGAGTTTTAAGTTAAAGCATTTCCTCCACAATGGGGTGACAGTAGTTCAGTTTTGTATCTGAATCACAAGAAAACTGTAAGCTGGAAAAGATAAGCGTGGTGTTTACAGGATGCTATGTCTGGCACCACTGTGAGGAGACCTTGAACTGAAATGTAAGTATAAGCAATCTGTGAATCAGTCTTGCATTTTATACCAGTCAGGTTCTCTATGTGGACATATTTAATTGATTTACAACTGACTAATAGCAAAGAAATTGATGTAAATGAGTTCTAAAGCAGTTTAAGTGTTCACAATGTAGCTCATTCTCTGAATTAAAATCCTATTAATTAGTGTAGGTTTTGTGCTTATAGAAAACATTGCAAACTTCTTCAGATAATACACCTTGAGCTCTAACAGCAAAAAATGGCCATGGCATTGAATCTCCCAGCAATATGCAGGAGTATGAATGCCATGCCCAGCGCAATGATTCTGGCAATTATGTCCGCCACAGACTTAAGCTAAAATAATTTGCCATGTGCTTCTCCAAACCTTACCTAGTTTGAGCATTTTTGCTTTCCGAGTTTGTTTGGATGCTGAGGCAGATTTGCAGAGATGTGCTAAAGAAGGGCAGCAGGAACTCAAGAGGATCCCCCTCAAAATAATGAAGACCCTCCTACATGAATCACTTGGTCCTCCTGTTGGTTTACAGGAAAGAATCGGAGATCACAGCAGGCTTAATTAAAACATGTAGTCCCTTGGTTATTTTGGTGCTATGACAAAATCCTTGTTCAAAAAACCTGGGAACAAAGAATAGCTCTTGCTGCTGTGGCAGGAAGGACCAAAGCAGGTAGGCAGTCACTGCTGGATCTTCTCACAGGGCTCCTGGCTCTCCCTGCTCCCAGGTCAGCATCCATGGATGTTGCTGGGCCTTCAACACAAGACAGCCCCTGTATTGTCCCTACCAATAAGGAGCCAGGCCTGCAGCCCAGCCAAAGGAGTAACTGCTTCAGAGGGTATATCAGTGCCTCTATCCCAGTACTGCCTGCTCCCAGAATGGTGCTCCCAGTGCTGCAGGGAGCTGCCAGTCCTACAAGGCTGTGCTGCAGTATTTGCCACCTTCATTTTTAATTGGATTTTTCCCAGATGGATGGGCACATGTACGCACACGGAGATGATAATGCTAAATAACCACCTTACAGGTCATTGATTAACCTCACCTTTCCCAGATATATATAGAACTTGCAGCTTTTCTGGTAACAACAGGAGCTGATAATAAATGCTACATCCTATGATGGGCATCTCCTCTAGTTGCAGTAACACATCCGGTATCACCAGTACTTGCTGCCCATGCCCGTTCGGGAATGACCCTGCTAAAATAGTTGCCTCCACCTCCTGGAGACCCCAGTGGCAGCTTCAGTGGCTCAAGACTGCAAATGGCTCAGTCATGGCATGGAGAGGCATTTGTCCATTCAGAGCTCTTTTTCTACAGAATACTTGTTTTTACTGAGTGAAGATAGTAAGGCAGGAGACCTTGGTATCAAGGACTTGTTTACTCTAAGTGCAAAAGGGAAACAATGTCAAGGTAACTAATCTTCTACAGCCGTGTCCAGTGCAGTCATTCTTATGCCACCCAGCCCTGAGGGATGGACGGAGGGCGGGCCTCATACCTGAGCAGTACAGGCAGTTGTGCTGCTCACAGGCAGCAGAGGTGAAATGTCACCCAGTGAGAGTGACTATCCCCTGCGTGGCATAGGCAGGGGAGTGACACACATGTGGAGTTTTACATAGTCTTGTTGCAAGACCTCAGCACCAGGCTGGGAGCTCTGACCCCGCACTTCTGCTCTGCCAGGAGCACAATGTGGTATGAGGCTAAGCCTTCAGGTAGCTCACCTGCAGGTGGGGAGAGCAGGGGGGAGAGCACTTCTCCACTGCATGGGAAGAAACCAGGGCAGCTCACTGAAGATTGGGAATCTGCCAGATAGCAGGAGCAATTCAGACACAAGAAATAAAGCTGTGCTTTGCTGAAAAGCCCAGTAAGTAGGGGACTTGGAAATATTGTCTTGTATAGCTAGACTCACCTCTGCATTCCAGTGGGGAGTTAGACAAAGCCCAATAAGAGTAGTGTTTCATTATGAGCTTTCTTTACTTAGTTAAGTATTATTTTCCAAAGTACTTGATCAAACTGGAGTCACCATTTTCCTTGGGAAACCATATTACTTTACCCTTATTATTCTGGAGTGCTGCTCTCTCCATGTGAAAGGTGAAAGGGAGTTCCTAGGAGATATTTAGTCACAGCTTAAACAGACCTTGATTTTACAGTTGAGTTTGATGGCTTGCAGAAAGTTACTCCTCCCTTAATGAGCCCCTGGGAATACGGTTGTGTGTTTTTTCAAGATCTGTGATGCACATATGTGTCTATCTGGCATCATCCCAAACCTTCTCAAAGATAAAATGTGAGCTGAACATCTGGTTCACACTATTACAATCTTTATTAAACACTAATTTCTTCTCCAGAAAAGCACCATCTGCCACAGCTCCAGCCCTTGTTTTCTAACAGGAGTTTTTCTTCAGAAGTACACAATGAAATAAATCTTCACACTTACATTCCCCAGAATTTCCTGAGATGAAAAAGCACAGTGACAGTAGCAGGCTCCAAGAGCTGATTTGCTTCAAAAATTCTACTTTATTACTTAATTCAGTAAGAAACCATATTAGCAAGGATACTAGCTCCACTTCACATTAGAAAAAGTCCTGTTGAGCATTTCGATAAATCCATTGCTGAAGGATTTGATACCTTTTCAGAGCTTAGAGCACTGCATCCTCAAGTCTAGAGAGTCAAGGTGTGGATTTTGCAAAATCTCCCTTGCTTTTCACAAATTTTTTTGGAAAAGAGAGATAGCTTCATGCCAGTTCCGTCCCCGTCTTTATGACCCATGTTCATAAGCCCGGTAGTACCCAAAAGCCAGGAGACAAAACACCTCTGAGCCATTATCTGCTTGTCTACTTCAGAGGCAAAAGGATTCCCTCATTTTCCTATGGTTGGGGCACAGTCCTGAGACACTCATGTCTTTTATATGACATTTGGAAATTCATCTCACTCTGCATGGGAGCTTGAGTGTCTGAAAGGATTAGTCTCCTGGGCTCTTAAGTCCTTATTCCTGCCTGTTACCAGAAGCAAATCTAAATAAATACTATTAAGAAGCTAAATTCAATTTGCTGTCTCTTGGTGTTCCAGCATCACATCAGTAAGAAGCTGTGTGTACACCACTGTGCCCAAGGAGCACCATGTACACCTTCAAAGGGCTTCGTAAAGTGCCGAGTCCTTAATGTCACGGCACTGGGTAGCAATGGTGCATGACTCCAGCCCCTGCAGTCAGCCCTGCCTGGAGAAGATGAGGCTGAATGAGCACATTCAACCTGATTTCAAATCCCCTCAGGTAGTGACAGTTGAAGAGATTTGCAAAGAATGAACTGCTGTGATCAGTGTTGGGTTTAGGCTGCAGGAAAGGAGGGATTCCAATATGGACTTTGTCCCCCTACCTGGGCTGGCTGGGCATCTGACTTGACATGCCATGGCCAGGCAAGTCCCTGCAGGGTGTCCTTCTCCATAAAAGGCTACTACAGGTGCAGACAGACTCCAAAACCCTGATTTTATACGTACTGAATGGTTGGTGTCAATGACAGCAGAGAGGACGGATGAACTCCATAAACACTACACACTGATGCTTTCCTCCACATCAACTTCCAAGAGCAGCTCCCCCCCGCTCTCTGTGATAGCAACACACAGCTACACTTGTAATTGTAAATCCTTCCTGTATTTTGCTGCCTCTGTAACTGGATTTTTGATGTATTGCATGGTCCACAGTAATAGCCTTGGAGACTGGGCCTTCCACCCTTCTCCACTAGCCTGCTCTTCTGGAGTGCCCTCCCTGCCTGGGTACTTCTCCCAAGAGTTTTCTGGAGTTTATGGTCACAACAATAGCAAAAAGGAGTAAAGAAAAGTAACCTTACTGTGATAAAGCTCCATGGTGGAATTGTTAAAGGTTACTCTACATCCTACAAAAATCACCTATTTCTAGTCGGAACCTGTTCTTTGAAGAGCAACAGCAAGTTGCACCAAGTAGTGACAGTAAGACAGATAAGGAGTATACCTTTTAAATTAAAATCTGAAATGGATCCCAAATGTGCTGCTGAAAACAGTGCTTAAAGAAAATCCTTGGGGGCATAAATGGTGTAGGGATTTTCATCAGAGTTATGACCCAGTGGGTGGAGGTTCACATCTATATCAGCTTCACAGTATGTGTCCCAAAAGTAAGGGATAAAGAGATAGAAACTGAGATTAGAGATAGTGGGCGAGCATCATTTGGAGCCAGAAATGCCTGCTCACATCACAGCGGACGTGGAAAAGGTACAAGTGATGCCACGCTAACTTAAGAGAAACTGGAGGTTTTCCTAGAGAGGTTCATGGAATCTGTACACCTGAAAGGAGGAAAGGTTCAACTTCCCATGGAAATGGATACCAGCAAGACGGGTTCAAAGGACGCTCAGGCAGCCCGTGGCCACAGCTATCCCAGGGAAGAATGACCTTAGTGATTTCTGGATTTCAGTGGAGCTCCAGCTCAGGTAGTCCCCACTTGCCCTCTAGTACCAAAACCAGATCTTGAGCGTCTTTAAGAGATCAATTGAAACCATTGCACCTCTCCTGTTGGACATTCCCCTACCCTTGGTGCTGCCCCTCCAGACACCATACAGGTACAGAGCAATCTCAGAAGCTCTATTATCTCAACTGGAAAAGGGGTTGAAATCATAGGGAGCAAAATGAAGAGGTATCCTCTCCAGATGTGCCTGTTGCATAAAAATCCTCCTGTTGCTCCTCTGACGATGCACCCTTGCCAAAGAGCTGAGGGCCTCAGCATACCCAATACTAAAACTGAAACATGGGCAAATGGAAAAATTTGCTTCGAGATCACAGAACATCCTGTTCTTGAGGACAGCACTTGCAGAGCAGCCCAGGGCTGGCAAGCTGCTGCTCTTACCATTACCCAGCTGGGTCCTTTGGAGGAAGGGAGGTCAGAGGTGGAGGTTGCCTCTGTGTCACCCTCCAGGTCAGAGATCAATCCTGTGGAATTCCTTAAACAAGAAGATTGAATGTGTAACCCCAGCAATGTCATCAACATTCCTTCTGACCATTAAACAAGCTGAAATAGGCAGCCAGAGCTACCGGAGCTGCAGTGCCTGAGAATTACCTACACAATGTGGTTGCATGGTTGCTATCAGCTGATGAATTTCCACTGCAGCTTTACATACCCCAAGTGTGAAAAAGGCAATACAAAGTCAAATTCCTTAGGATTTATTCCATGGCAATTTTAATTTTAAATGGCTTCTGCATGCATGCAGGGCAGGTACAGAAGGTGAACTCAATGGGCACAGGGCATGCAGTCACATAAACAAGACTCTGAATGAGAAACATTTGTCCAGAACCAATATCTACTGCTCAGCACATGCACAGGCTGATGAAACCCGAAGTGACAAACTCTAAACGTGTGCACTGAGCTGATTGTGTGAGCCGCTTCCATGCACTGAGCCAGGAGATTACAGGAACTTGCTGCACTGGATAATTCCAGTGGGGTGCGAGGAGTTTCATCCCATTGCCTGAGGGTGGTTTGATTACTCCGTACAGCGTGCTGCAATCCTCAATCAAAACGTTCCACTATGTTCAGTACTCCGCATGGGAACATCTGGCAATTTACAGCCGAACGCCTTGTAGCATCTAATGCCTGAGTATCTCTTTCCTACAACCTATTTTCATTTGACTAAGTAAAGACCCAATTTCCTGAATTTTTAAAAAGTCTTGCTAATATAATCAAATTACCGTGATTACTCGGCAATGATTCTAAAAAGTCCTAAAAGCGCTGCTCCAGCTTCGCAGTGAATTCCTATTACATGTAAAAGATTTTTAAACACTTCAAGTAAAATGCTTTTAATTCAATCAGAAGAGTAAACAGTGTTTGTT